AAGGAGGCTGAATTTTTGCAGTGGCTGCCAATATGTTTTTCATCTCTGAGAAGATGTGTCTTTCTAACAGTGGCTACCACTTCTAATGGATGAAGTGGGGAGAACATAACTGCAAAAATTGTGGGAAGTGATGCCTGTTAAAATTATAAGTCATGTAAACAACCATTATCTTTTCCCTTTGCAAAAGATTTGACAAGGACTCACCATAAAAACTGCTACATATTCCAAGTTCATGTAAGGTTTTGTGACGCCTAGAAACTTCTAAATATGGTTCCAATAAAGAGGTAAACTGGTCTGGATAAAAAGCTACCAGCTATTAATGTAACATCTGTAGCTTATATAAAAACCCTGGAAATGTCATGTCAGAGCAAGTAAAAGAACATGCCCATTGTCCTAGCTTTACACTTAAATAGTATTTTGAGTAGAACTGTGGTCTATATAATTTTAAATTTAATATATTATAATTTTGTTATCCATACATTTTTGTAATTTCGAAAATGGAAAAAATAATTGGAATGAAGGAAGGAAAAGATCTACAACAGATCTACAAATGGATGTAGTATAATCCATTATATTTGCCTGCTAGAGGCAACTATTCCTTTCTTAAAGGCTATACAGGGGTCCCCCATCTCCGATCCATGGACCGGCACCAGTCCACAGCATGCCAACAAGCGGGCTACACAAACAAGCAAAGCTCCATCCTTGGGATACAAGCAGTATTCAAAACCACACCCTCTATGGTCCACAGAAAAACTTTTCTCCATGGCACCGGTCTCTGGTGGCCAAAAGGTTGGGGACCTCTGGGCTAGACCACATAATCTGAATTGATAGCATAAGTACGCATACATTGTGTGATGTGAAAGTTATTATACATTTTCATAATGCACTGCTCTTTTTTAATTTTTGATTTATTACCTATAGGAATGAATTTTTTAATCTTTCTGACAGCCTTTTCTCCTATGGTAAACCTTTAAATCTCTTCCTCTTTCCCAGCTAAATTACTGCCTCGTCTGAGTTTGTATATACATGAAATTCGAGCAGGAAAACAACCTAAACAATTTTCCAGCAAAATGTTGAGAGTAAAGCATTGTTGTTTCCTTTCATCCTTTAATCTCTGTAAAACTTGTTTGAACAGCAGGAGAACAATGGCCCTAAATCAAAAGGATTAAAAGCTTTGTTATGATGAATACATTTGGAAATCAGGGATTCGGTTACCTTTTTTTAAAAAAGAAAAAAGAATAACTGTCTAATTGTATTGAAAATTGGAAACAGAAAATAGCCACAGACCAAATTGTTCCAAATGAAAAAGAAATTTCATCTTAGACCTCCACTGAAAAATGCTATATATCCGTTACTTTTTTATTAATTGGAAAATGCCCATTACTCATCTTTTTCTACACTAGTTTTCTAGAAGATACCATACTCATGACTATTCTTCTGTAGAAGAAGAAGAGGCAGAGCCTAGGGCTGGAGTCAAGAGAGGAATCAGTTTGGATTCGTTATGTTGCCACAATTATCCAAGTTCAGCCCCTCTTGAATTCCGTTGACTCTTATCTAGCATCACTTTAGTGCTAGACCATTAGTTGACTAGATTCTTGTGTTTAAGCATAAGCAATAAATCAGCTTAACCAGAGCTTAACAAGTGGTCCTGATTGTTTGTGACTGAATCATTTTTTTTCTGACCTTCTGAGCAAATAAAGATATTGGCTTTTTTCTCTTCATATTTCAGGCTGGCAATTCAAGCTGAAGTGGCCATAAATAAAGTTACCTGTTGTCTGATTTTGTGCCTTCAATGCTGTAATCAAGTTTCTTCTAACCTTATGAAAATATAATGGAAGAAATAAATAGGAAGTTGGGGATCGTTTTCTTGGCACATTCTTTCTGATTCCACTTTCTTCCAACAGCTCCTGTTTTATATCTTTGCTTCTGACAAGTCTAAAATAAACTAAAAGTGTAATCCATTTCTCACTGGAAACAGTTATATTTTATTATATTGGGCTCTCTGATGTTTATCATGTTTAATTGTCTCTGACAAAATCATTAATTAACCATTTTTTTAAAATGCAAAGTAATTTATTATTGTTGATAATATAGATGTAAATATTAAATAAGAAACAGTGCTTTAGTGCAATGGCAGACTAGAATGTAGTTTGTCATCAATCAACTTAAAATTTGTCAAAGTCTTAGGATCTAGATTATGATTATGTAGAAAATGCCTCAGAGTGACACACATTATTCACTTAGAATAGAAAACCGTACAATAACAAATCTATTGGCTTTGATAACTTTGCCCAGTTTCCCAGTTTTGCCCATGCAACCTGCTCTTTGCATGGCAAAGAGACAGCATAATGGCTGCCCTCCTTCTTTGTATTGCAGCCAAGCCAAATCATTTTGGTGAACCTTGAAGCCTTTGGTTATTGATGTATGCCTATTTTAACATTGGTTTCCTGCCTACCTTCAGAACATATTCAGAGCCACAAGAATGCAAAAATCACATTCTGGTTCTGCCCCACCTTCTTACTTAAACTACATCCACAATCAGTATGCAGTTCCTGCCATTATTTTTAGTAAAACAGAGAGGAGGAGGAGGGGGGAGGGGGAGGAGGAGGAGGAGGAGGAGGAGGAGGAGGAGGAGGAGGAGGAGGAGGAGGAGGAGGAGGAGGAGGAGGGGACCTACTTATTTACTACTTGGATCACTTTTTTATGTGTCTTACAACCAATTAAGTATCAACAGATTACTAATTACTGTATTTCAAAAAATTCAAATATTTCATGTTTATTAAGTATTTGCAGTGCTCTATATGTTTATCAAAAACATTGTGTATTATTCTTTTTAAAGAAGGCTATCATTTACCATTTTTTTCCTTTGCAGATTAAAAATTGGAAACTGCATTGCTTTTAATTTCTTGGACTCAAGTTTGTCCATAATTAAAACACCCAAAGTGTTCTGCTGTTCTTTACAATAATCTCTCAGTTTTTCCAGACAGATACATCCCCACCACAAGAACAGCATTTGTATGTAATTCCAACAAATTTAAGTAATGCCTGGGCCATCACGGGCTGAGCTATTTTCTGTTATTTATCTTGGCACAAAAATGAAGACTGAGTTTTTCCAGATCTCCATAGTTCATTAACACAAAAGATGGGAATTATGTCATTCACTGAAAAAAAGAAATACATCAGGTTTACTATAGAATTAATGAATGGATTGGTTGTGCAAGACGAAACCTTTCATTTGTTTCCAAAACCTTTGTTGACTTCTTTTCCTTTTGCCAAACTGTATGCACATCTGATTCTTAGGTTCTATGGTACTTTGGACACATATTCACCACACTGCTACAAAAAAACTGTGGCAGAACACAAGCTTGCCCTTATATGATAAAGGACTGGATATCTCATTTCTGGTCCAAAAGATTTTCTGGAACTGTTCCCACTTTGACTCCATTTTCATGGCATAATGCAGTTAGCTGGTAGGTGGCGTTGTCACTAGCTATCTGCCCTGGAAGGGATTATGGTCTTTATCTGGTCTCTTTCCTCTAACTCTAACATATAGGATAGATAGGGATCTCATAGCCTTTTCTGAGCATTTCCTAACTTTGTTACATAGCATCATCCGAAGAACAATAAAAAGCAGATGTGTTTTACATTCCTGCAATTAATTCTTTTTCTCAATCAGTATGTCTAAGGGCTTACCAATCAGTATGACTATATGTGACATTGAATGTGGGGCATACATATTTGTTCACCTCTGATACTTTTCTGTCCCTTTTTTCAGTCTATGCTGCGTACAACATTCTGACTGATCAGAAAGAATTTGAGTTAATTCAATCATTCGAGCTGTTCAGAAAGAGATGTTAAGAAGTGAAACAGAGAAAGACAACAATCTTTTTTTTTCTTTTTTGACCCAGCCACTCCATTTCTCTGGAAGGATTTGACCTACCCTCCTTGTTGGAACATTCTGGAAGATCCACATCTGGACAATAGTAGCCTTCCTGGATTCATTATTGATGGAGTCGTGGGAATAGCCTGGAAATTTTCACTTCCTCCTCCCTGGAAACTGGCCCTGCCTCATCTTCAGGGCTTGATTTATATACCCTTTTGTGGCTCCTTTTTTGTACCCCAGTGTACCAGCCATCAGCAAAGAGCAGGACAATCAACATTGTACTGGCAGCTTTTTCTATTGCCATAGCAAGAGCTGAGTTTTGCTAGAGACTGCAAGCTAGAAAAGGTTCCGGCTGACCCTGACTATCATCCCAGAATGCATTTAATTAAGAAAATCTCTCAGCAAGTTATCTCAAATATCTTGCCATATTATAAGAAAAATATTCTCCTTTCTTGGAAAGAAAGGATGATTTTTTTTTCCATTAGAAGTATGCAATCCAGCTTGAAATGTGGTTTTCTGTAATACATTATCAAAATAACAGAATAACAGAGTTGGAAGGGACTTTGGAGGTCTTCTAGTCCAACCCCCTGTTCAGGCAAGGAACTGTATACTATTTCACACAAATTGATGTTCAATCTCTTTTTAAAAACTTGCAGTGTTGGAGCATCCACAACTTCTGGAGGCAAATCATTCCACTGATTAATTGTTCTAACTGTCAGGAAATTTCTCCTCAGTTCTAGGTTGCTTCTCTCCTTGATTAGTTTCCATCCATTGCTTCTTGACCTGCCTTCAGGTGCCTTAGAAGATAGCTTGACTCCCTCTTGTTTGTGGCAACCCCCGAGATATTGGAACACTACTATCATGTCACCTCTAGTCCTTCTTTTTATTAAACTGGACATACCCAATTCCAGCAAATATTTTTATATGTTTTAGCTTTAATATATAATATTAAGCACTATTATATAGGATGCATGAATCAATTCAGTTGAAGGAAAGTATAAATTAAAATAATCACATACCAGAAAGCATAAAGTAGCCTTGTATCACCATAGACAGAAATCTTATTTCTTCCATCTCACAGGCTAAAGATACGGACACTCACACACAAAAGCCAAGCTTAAGATTTTATTGGTAAATGTGTGCGTGTTTATACAATGAAATCTCACAGCGAAATCCTAAGTTTGGCTTTATTACTCCAAAATGATGGGATGCAATGTCAAATTATTTTACACTTGTTCTATACTTTGCTTCAGAAGAGGAAATGGGATTCACTGAGTAAATTTGAACAATTAATGAAAGAGAAGAGTAAATCATATCATAAACACACTTAGAGGCTACAATTCTCAGACAGCTGCTTTTGCCAACACTTCTAGGGGAGGCGTGATGAATTAAGCACATCTCTGCAAAAAAAAAAAAAAAAGCAGAGATTACCACAACAAAAACTGAAGAAACGGCAAGCAGACCAGTTCTTCAAAATCTTTCTGAACAAGCAGAGGATGGGAAATTACATATGCTCCAGGTGGCTGCTCCTTGCAAGGGGACCACTGGACAGCAGTTTCCCACAGATTTGAGTACCTGAAAATAAAGGGATCCGTCATCATACTTACAACTAAAGTGGAACCTTTTAAAGATACTGGATTGATTAATTTGATGCTAGAGGGGACAAAATATTCCAGGTGGAAAAGGAAAAAGAAGTGTAAACCTGTCTTTGGTTTTTTGATACTATGGGAATTTGCAAAATAAGATAAGATGTTTGAAATACTCCAGGATATTTTTAAAGAATGGGGCCAGAAATTAGTAGCTACAATGTCAGATATATTAGAAATGATGTCCTCTTCTATAGATTGCCCATCTCCAAAATGAAAAAAAATGACAGATATGATACAAGTTTTACCTGACACAGAAATACTAGAATCAAAATAATAATAATAATAATAATAATAATAATAATAATAATATTCCCTAGAGATTATAAGATAAAGTGGTAACACAAATGACAAGCCAAGGAAATAACCTAGATAAGGACTTGAAAATAAATATAATAATCCAAGCGAATAATCTAGATAATAGTGTACCTTATTATGCAATTAATTAGAGAAAGGAGGAAAAAAGGAAATCCAGGACAAGTGATTCAAATCTTTTGTACGTTCCGTTTTTCTAATATGGGCAGTACTGACAGCTTTACTTCATTTCAGCTTTTGGCAAAGCAAAAGCCACATACCTGAAACAAAGTTTGATCTACATTCTCCTAGTAAATATTCTTAATAATCTGCCTTGGGGGAAAAATGTTCCTCAACTCTTAAACCAAGGAGACAATAAAGTATCATTCTTATTAGAACTTACAATAGCCTTATAATAGCCGCCCAGACTTATCCTGCATAATATTGGGGATGGGGGAGAGAGAGGGGAGGGAGGGAGGGAAGGAGAGAGTTTGGAACACAATTAGAAAACCAGACAATGAGCAGGCAAAATGGAAGAGCACTAAAATGCAGCAGCCAACCAAGTAGCAACCAAAGTACTCCTAAATGGCAAACCTCCAAACAAATTTTAAAAGAGAGGGAGAGGGAGAGGGAGAGGGAGAGGGAGAGGGAGAGAGAGAGAGAGAGAGAGAGAGAGAGAGGGAGGGAGGGAGAGTCTTTGGGGTAAGTTTTAGAAAGGTAAAACAATATGCTTACATTACAGTATTATCATTATAATCTAGTAGAATATTTACTCTCATAACTGGCAGAAGTCAGAATGGAAAAAACATCTGCAAACTGCAGAGTCTGCTATTGGCAACATCCTGTCTGCTGGCTTCCCCAACATATCTGTCTATATAAAAGCTGAGATGTTCAAGGATTGTGACAATTTTATCCACTGAAGAGTTTTAGTTCATTCATAGACATGAATGCTGGCCACGTATTTATATGGAAGAAGTAAAGGATATCAAAGAAGTGAGGACCAATTTTCTTTCCCTGGATGTTTCTCACACATTCCAAATGTCCAAAACAGACACTGCATTATATCATGGAAAATAAGGAATCGTTTAGTTACCACTAACTAGAAAGAAATGAGTTTTTCTAATAAATTCCACTTTTTTGCAGCATTGATACCAATTATTACCTTTTTCTGTAGCAACTACATAAAATGTTCTTTATCTTAACCTGTTTGAACTGGACTGAATCTCAAACAGAGGAAGTAATGCAGCCCCATTTGGCACATCTTGGAGCATTCCCATGTTGCACAGCCAAAACTCAGCTGCAAAAAAAAGGGAAGGTTTTTGTTTGTTTTTTGTTTTGGCAAAGGGTAAGGGTGAAGCAGTTGGGTTAACCTCCCACAAAGCTTAATTCCCTTATTTTCCATGTAAATTCCCCCTCAACCTTTTCAAATAATCTCCAGTGATATCACAACATCCCTGTTCACCCTGTTCATTCCAGAGGGAGGGAGGGAGGGAGGAAGGAGGGAGGGAGGGAGGGAGGGAGGAAGGAAGGAAGGAAGGAAGGAAGGAAGGAAGGAAGGAAGGAAGGAAGGAAGGAAGGAAGGAAGGAAGGAGAGAGAAACTCTGAAAATATTTGCAATTCCTGAACAGATGATATTTTTAAAAATGGTATCTTGGTAAATTAGCATCAGTCTCTTCAAGGGTTTTTTTGTTTTTGTTTTTTGGCTTCCTCTGTCCTACTTGAGTTTCCTTGGTTTCATGAAAAGAGAAGATTTATGTTGTGTCTTTCGTCTTTTCTTTTCTCTTACTGGTGTTGCTTAGGCTATGTTTTGGGAATCCCTCCTCTTCCTTTCTTCTAATGTTCTCCCTTATATCTTATATTATTTGTCTAATTTATACAGCCACCCATCTCACAGAAAAAGTGACTCTGGGCAGTGCACAACAAATTAAAAGAATCCATACTTATTTTATGACTATTAAAAATTAATTATTATACGATTCAGTTGTTTCAGAACCAAATTTATATCTCATGGTATATACTTTTGCCCCTGTTTTTTTATGATACAATGTAGAATTTGGACATTTTGGCTTGTTTTGCTCTACATGTTACCCAGTGAGTGCAAGGGGCAGTAAACATAGAAAACTTCTGACCACCTTTCTCTTCTGTGATTTAAAGCTGCCTGTGTTTTCAAATGTAATTGCTCAAGCTGGCAAATCGGGGAACAACACTGCTCTTCTGTCAATCCGGATAGAATAACTGTGGGACTTATTGTATACATATGAAATAGAGGTGTTCCAGCCTCAAGGCTGGGAAAGAATTGCCAAAAACACAGTTAGCCTTCCGGAAGGGAAGGTACAGAAAGGTTGAAGAGACAGAAGGTTAGAACAGTAAGGCTGAAACCTGGAGAGAAACGGATATAGGCAGTGGTGGGATTCAAATATGTGAACAACTGGTTCTCTCTGCGGATGCCGCTTCCGGAAGTCCATTCTGGGCCTCGGCAACAAAAAATTAGCTACCGGTTCTGCCAAACTGGTGCAAACCGGCTGAATCCCACCACTGGATACAGGTAGTCCTCAACTTACGACCACAACTGAACCCAATATTTTTTTGTTGCTAAGGCAGTTATTAAGTGAGTTTTGTTCCATTTTGCAACCTTTTCACCACAGTTTTTAAGTGAATCACTGCCGTTTTTAAATGAATCATATGGTCATTAAGCAAATCTGGCTTCCCTCACTGACTTTGCTTGTCAGAAGTTGGCTAGGAAGGTTACAAATGATGATCAAATGACCCGGGGGCAGTGCAACTGTCATTAAATACATGCCAGTTGCCAAGCACTCGAATTTTGATCACGAGATCATGGGGCTGCTGTAATGGTCGTAAATGTGAAAAACGGTCATAAGTCACTTTTTCCAGAGTCGTACCTTCAAACAGTCACTAAGTGAATGGTGGACTACCTGTATAGGATATATTCCTCGGTTGTTGTTTTCTTGATCTTTTTCTATTTCTTTTCTTTCTAGTTTTCGTATTGTTTTTACTGCTTGTGTGTTTATTCTTGTTGTTAGATGCATAGAGTTGACTGCCACAAGAGGAACAACCATATGAATCTTTTAAATAAATATATAGTCTGTTGACTCAAAAGGATAAGAAAAAGAGGTTTTTGTTCTAATTTCAGGGTTTCCTTCTTTCGTACATGGACGTTAAGTCTCTTTGATTGAATGTGTGTATATGAGTGTTTATATATATATATATATATATAAGATATTCTTCAATATGCAGATTTTCTATATTAAAGCAACTAACTAGCAGCAAGTTCTTGAAACTAGGGAATTGTTATCTAGTTCCTGAATTCATCGCTGAATATCTGGAAGAGTAGAAAGTTGGCCTGAAAACTGACACCAGGGCTATCTGTCAACTGCTTCTTCACTAGTCAGAGATGCAGAGTCTATTAGAATGATTCACTACAAATTAATTAATTGACAGACTGTTTTAAAAGTTGTATTTTCTATGTTAGAACCAGGGCTTTTTTTCTCACAGAACGCCCAGAACGGAGTTCCGGTACCTTTTTGGGATGGAACCTTGTAGGGTAGGCAAGGCAGGTTGTATGACATGTGTAAGTTCTGGCACCTTTTTTTTTTTTTTTTTTTTAGAAAAAAAGCACTGGTTAGAACCATGCGATGGCTCTCCTGTTTCTGATTTCTGAAACTGCAGAACAATTGCTTCATGCCCTGAGTATTTCATGACTGGGCTATTGTAACCAATCACTTCTGACTGGTTTCAGTTGAAGAGCTGAAGTGGTTCTTTCTAATTAAATTTGTTTTTAATGTATTTATTTATTTGTTTAACAAATTTATATAGCAACACCCACACCACACAGGTGACTCTGGAAGGCTACAATGTTAAAAACCCACAACATAAAAACCCATCAAAGCCCACCCTGATCCTACCCCCATGCCAGCAGCAGCACTCATTATTTATGTGTATTTCACATATAAAGATAATATTACAATCAAACATGATGTACATTTTCTCTTTTATTTCTCAAGGTGACATTTCCATTGTATACATTTTAGACAAAAAGTCATGCTTTGGATACAAAGTAGATATGAAAAAGATGTAAAAATGTATGGATTTTATAAGGAACAAACTGTGTTTGATAAGATTTTGTTAACCTCAGATGAAAAATTAATTAAGAAAATGTATAACTTTTTGTTAATTTTGGATATGAAAAGTGAACAAGTGAAAGAAACAATGATAAGATTTTTGGCTATAATATAGAATTAGAAAAATGGCAAATGTTAAGGGAGAGAAACTACAAATTAACAATGTCAACTTCATACAAAGAAAATCTGTATAAAATGTTTTATAGATAGCACCTGCCGCCAGCAAGATTAGCAAAAATGTTTAAAAATATGTCAGATAGATGTTGGAAATGTAAACATAACATAGGCACATATTATCACATTTGGTGGACATGTGGTAAGGCAAAGGCCTATTGGAGAAATATACATATGTGGTTAGAAAAAATATTGGGTGAACAAGTGGATTTTAAATCTGAACTTTTTTACTAGATATTATGCCTGAAAAGACTAATAAGCAGAAATTATATTTAATCTTACACATTACTACAGCAGCGAGAATAATTTTTGCACAATACTGGAAGAATGAAGGATTGCCATCAGAAAAAGAAATAATCAGGAAAATATTAGAATGTGCAGAGATGGACAGATTAACTATGAGGTTGAAAGATAAAGAAGATACAGACTACTATCAAATGTGGAACTTATTTTATTCTTGGCTAGAGGAAAGAATGAAGGATTAGGAATTGAACATGTATTAGCATAGTAAACTCCAGACAACTTGTTGATTGGAAAAAGTAACATATGTTGATGAAAAAAAAAACCAATAAAATCTTTATTTAAAAAAAGTCATGCTTTGAATTAATGAAAAAAAAAAAAAAAAACCCACCAGTCAGTGAGTAGGAAGATGAACTGCAAAAGTGTCAATTTTAAGGGAATCCTTGCAATTGGAAAATTATATATATATATTTCTAATCAGGGCATTTCAGTTCATCATCTCTTAATGCTGTTAAAATAAAGGGACAAATAAGCCTAAATTTCAATGACCTCCGTTAAACAAATTGCAACTCACTGAAGCTCCTCTGGGAAGATTAATCACAAATGTTTCATGGTTTGTTAAAGATCTGTTTTTAGGTGAGGTCTGGAACCAATACGATTCAAACTAGCTAGCAAACTTTTTATAGCAGTCAGAACTGTGTAAACAAAGTGCAAACTTTTTTATACAATTCTGACTGCTAGCCCTCTTAATTCCTAACCCTGGAAGTCTCTCCTCCCTCATTCTTTTTTTAACTCCCAAACTGTAATTTCTAGCACACAAAAAAAATTGCTATTCAAAGCTGTTGCTCACTCAGATGTATATTACAATACGTCATGTTCAGAATATGGAACAAACACCCATAGTAGCACTGTTCAGTTTGGGATGCCTGCATTTGATTTCAAGTTATTGGTCTACTCTAGGAGGAAAATTTTTATCTCTAACAATTTTTGGGGTTCCAATGACTTATTTTTTTTGTTCTATGTATCATACACTGAAATATATAGACTAAGTCTTTCTGCCCTGCCTGGAGTCATGATAGGCCTATTTATTTATATAGATGCCATTTTAGTATTGGTATGTATCCCATTAAGTGAACTCCAGTTCACAAAATTTATTGCACAATAGCAGTATTTATATTAGTTTTGCAGATGTCACACAGGGTCAGTGTAAGCCTTCTTTCTTACCTGCAATAGAACAGTAAATTGTGTTTCCTCCCATTTCCCCAATTTATAGTGCATAAAGTTCATGGCCAGATAGTTTATTTTGGCAGCTTAGACAGAAAATTCTTCAACAGTTTCTCCTAGTCCTGCAAGTAAAAATGTAATGGTGACTTTAAAATATATAATAACTTACATCTGCTGCTTTACCATAATATACATTTTGTGCTGCCTTACTAGGAGTAAGATTGTGCTTAGGTTTCTCAGAAAGGTAGGTATAGTTGTTATATTTTAAAAACTATCAAACAGGATACGGTTGCTATATCTGAGCTGTAAGAATCCAGGAGACAGCTAGAGGGCAGCAGAGGCATGTACTTTGCTACTATCTACTGGTCACTTGGAATTTTGCAGTTAAATTTTGCAATGTGTTACATGATAAGCTACAATAGCTAAGTTCATACCTAGTATCCAAACCAAACAGATCATAGTTACGGCATTGCATTTTATTACCAGTAAATACAACAGAATGACATCACTGTATTTTTGGAACACACATACAGACCTCATAAATCTGAAAATCACATGCACAAAAAAATCAGTCTGCACATAGAGAATCCTAAAATTAGCTGACTACACTTTAAAAGTTGTAGAAATAATACTTACATGAATTCACCTAAGAAATTTCAGGAAAAGATTACAATATAAATACTGGAAGTTTGTGACAGCTATGCTATATTATTCAATTAAAATGGAAGTAAATATGACTTGTCATGTAAGTTATTTTGCAATGATGTGGTAATGATGCAAAATAATTTACTCCTGCTTACCAGTTTACTAATAAAGAGTCACCAGTTTAATATGTAATAATAGTGTTAAACATGAAAAAATCCATGAGACTGGTCTTACAAGAACTGTTGCATAAATGCAGAACATCATAGCATAGAAGAATCTGCATATCCAAGGCATACTTTATATGTGTGTGGCTAGTTTTCTTATTGGTTTTCTAATTAAGTTTGGTTTTAATTCACTCTGAAACTCAAAGACATAATTTCTTTCTTCTTAATTATTTATGATAGTTTTGATGAATCCCTAATTTGACTCTGCCAATCAATGCTGTTGACTTCCCCTCAAATGTACATTTAGCATTTTAATTGTCTTATTCTTAATGTACATACAATAGGTAAGTTTGAATGGTAAATATATGATGTAATTTTAACTGTTAAGCTTCCTTTATTTTGAAAGATTATTTCCCAAAATCAAATTGTTCTCCAGCCATTTCCAACCTGCTGCCTTCCAGTTGTTATAAGAGTACAACTTTTACAATTCCCACACATGTCACCAGGAGAGGAAGACTGGTAAAACCTAAATAGTTTTTTACAAAATGAAATCAACAAGAAAGTATCTGGAATAGAATGTCTCTAGACCAGATTATAGTTTGAATTTGCTTGAATTTATATTATATTCTTCCAAATCTATATATGATTTTAGCAACAAGATTGCGTAAATGTTTTGAATTCTGACAAATCCAAACTGTAGGATTCAGCCAGGAAAAAAATAAATGAAACATTACTTCCTCAAAAATAAACAAATAGATACAATCTCATGATTCTACAACAGAAGTAAGATCTGTAATGAGTATAAACAAATGTATGTTAATAAACATGGAACCGTAGAATAGAAAGCGTTGGATAAACACTTGCAAATGATTGTTTCTGGTTGCTTCTTATGCAATGGAAAATAAATAATTACTTTTGGTTAAAGGTTTGTGAAAATCATGATCTGATTTATAAACATAGTATAAAATGACTTGTCCTGCAAAAGTGTTTATGACATATTTCCAGGCTGTCTTCCAGATTTGTTGGGCTAACTGAACCAGAAGATTGAGCTAAGGAAAAAAAATTGGTGTATTCATTTTTATTTAGATAAATAAATTTATTCAGGTATATGACACTTGCTAGTGTATAAAGTATCAATTAACTCATTGAAATATCTGTTCATATATAAGATAAAGAATATATTTGGGCATGTTTGAATGTGAGTACAATCATATAAATAAAAAGAACGATGATCTGAAGTTTTGGTCAACTTTGGAAATTTTTCCTGGTGTGCTTATGGAAATGATATGTATTTATTTTTTTCTTGAATGCTTGATCTTTCGTTAATCTTGAGTGGGTCCTCATTAATAGTATTGTGACCATTTAATTTAACTGTGGTTTCATATCACAATTTTCGTGAAAAAAATTCCAGTGAAAATCAGATTGGGTTATATCTTTTTCTGTTGGCTTCCAGTTGGCTGTGAAGATATTAATTCTATCAATTAACTCTGCAAATATGATAAACAAGTAAATAAAAAATCACAAATATGATAAATAAACAAAAAATATCAATAGTGTTGCATTAGCTATTATACAAATTCAGTTTTTGAAGAATGCAGTGATAGTAATCTAAATGGAAGGATAATAATAGAAATTTAGCAGTAGCGAATTCCAGTGAAAACTATGTGCTTGGGCATTTAGTCAACATTGTGGCTTTAATTATTATTGTTGCAAAACCACAGAAGAATATTATATAACAGAGAACAAATGAAGGCACATGTCCACATTTCCAATAGCAAGGATTCTTGCTAATCCTGTATACATACATTATGCAATGGTCCTATTATTCAGTTGCTTTGGCTTGGTCATAATGGGACCTCTCAAATCTTGTTATTTTGTGACATACAGTGGGACTTTTCTTTAAATGCTACATTTGGATTCATTTGTGCATTAATCTGTCTCACCTATAGTCAATGGTGGGATTCAAATACCTGAACAACTGGTTCTCTTATTGGATGCAGACCTGGGCCTCCGAGGCCTAGAACTGACTTCCGGAAGTGGCATCCACGCACTTCCGGCGGGCTGTTCTGGACCTGGGAGGACTCCTCCAGACCTCCAAGGCCTAGACTGGACTTCCGGAAGCACTGTGCATTAAGCCGGTTCTCTAAACTTCTGCCAAACTGGTGCGAACCAGCTGAATCCCACTATTGCCTATAGTCAAAGCTCTTTTTTTTTATAACTGGCTACTGTCCTTGCCCATATATACATAAATACATTTAAGTTTCTAGATGTACAGATTCTTAAGTATATATGTCCAATTAGACTCACTCAGAGAAAGAAAAGTGATTAGCAATGGATTTCCTGAACCCAAAAATTTAGAGCATGCAGCAGCAGAAGGATTATCCAAGAGGGGGTTTGGCTATCCAGACTGAGCCTGGCAAGTCACTGTCAAGACATTCCAATCTGGAGAAAGGTTTTTAAATCAGCTTAATGTCAGAGCCTGCACCAGCTTGGGACTGGGATAGCTTCAGGGTGAGGAATGGATATAAAAAAAGTTAAATAATAAGTAAGTTGGCTAAGTGATATATTTCTGGCTTGCTTGCTGCTTGAATATATAATCAATTTAGCTTATTGCTTATTCCAAACTTAACTCTTTTTGGTTTAAAAAAACAAAAGGTCACCCATATGCCTTTCCTTCTTTCCTTCTTTCCTTCCTTCCTTCTTTCCTCATAAGAATAACTCATATTTCATCATTTTTGTTTTCTTTTTCTGTCCTGAAATATCTTTAGTCCATTTTTTAAATGTCCTGCTATTTCAAGTTTTATTTTTTAAGTGCACTTAGTGCTATTTCCTATACCTTCTTTGACAAAAAGCCATCACCACCAATATACCTACTGTTCCACTCAGGGAGTGTGTAGTGGGGTGCCCCAGGGCTCTGTTCTGGGCCCAGTGCTCTTCAACATCTTCATCAACGATTTGGACGAGGGGATAGATGGAGAACTCAGCAAATTTGCAGACAACACCAAGCTGGCAGGAATAGCCAACACCCCAGAAGACAGGTTTAAGATACAGAAGGATCTGGACAGACTTGAACACTGGGCACTATCTAACAAAATAAAATTCAATGGTGAAAAAGTAAGGTTCTACATTTAAGCAAGAAAAACCAAATGCACAGGTATGTTATAGGGGGTACCTTGCTCAATAGTAGTAACTGTGAGAGGGACAATCACCTAAATATGAGCCAGCAGTTGGAAGGGACCTTGGAGGTCATCTAGTCCAACCCCCTGCTCAGGCAGGAAACCTTATACCATTTCGGACAAATGGCTGTCCAGTCTCTTCTTAAAAACTTCCAGTGTTGGAGGATTCACCGTGCTGCAGCTGCCAAAAAGGCCAACACAGTGCTAGGCTGCATTAACAGAGGGATAGAATCAAGATCACGTGACGTGTTAATACCACTTTATAATGCCTTGGTAAGGCCACACTTGGACTACTGCATCCAGTTTTGGTCACCATAATGTAAAAAAGATGTTGAGACTTTAGAAAGAGTACAGAGAAGAGCAACAAAGATGATTAGGAGGCTAAAGCATATAAGGAATGGCTGCTGGAATTCAGTATGTCTAGTTTAATGAAGAGAAGGCCGAGGGGGGACATGAGAGCAGTGTTCCAATATCTCAGGGGCTGCTACAAAGAAGAGGAAGTCAAGCTATTTTTCAAAGCGCCTGAAGGCAGGACAAGAAGCAACAGGTGGAAACTAATCAAGGAGAGAAGCAACCTAGAACTAAGGAGAAACTTCCTGACAGTTAGAACAATTAACCAGTGGAACAACCTGCCTTCAGAAGCGGTGAATCCTCCAACACTGGAAGTTTTTAAGAAGAGACTGGACAGCCATTTGTCCGAAATGGTATAAGGTTTCCTGCCTGAGCAGGGGGTTGGACTAGATGACCTCCAAGGTCCCTTCCAACTTTACTACTACTACTACTACTATTAGATTCAAAAGTTAGATGTGGTTGTTTGGATGCCACCTATTATCATATTTGGTGGTCGTGTAAAAACATAAAAGCTTTTTGGATTAAGATATGGTGGAATATTCAAAGAATTTTTAGAAGGAGGGTAAAATTTACCCCGCAATTATTTTTGTTAGGTATTGTTACTGATTGTGATGCTAAGAAGGTTATATTGATGTTAAATTTGATTACAGCCGCAAGGCTGTTAGTAGGGCAATATTGGAAGAAGGAATCTTTGCCTACTTTGCAAGAGTGGTTTTTTAAAGTTTCTTATTTGGCGGAAATGGCAAAGATTTCGGCTTTTTTAAAGGAACAATCGCAAGAGAAATT